TGAACAGCAGGAAGATGGGGTGTTCCTTAATTGAAAGGGGTGTTTAGTTTCAAAGACAGGATAGCATGGAGGGTAGGGTGTGAGTTCAGTTTGTGATTCTTTGGGACCTCAAAATAGCCATGAGGAGGAAGAAGTCAGATTAGATGTTTGGATTGGACATCTGGAAGTTGTCATTGTATAAATACAACTAACCAATCAGCACATCAAATATGGAGTTAGAGCTGGGCATGGTGGGTCTCACCTGTAACTTTGGAGGGTGAAACACAAGGTTTGCCTTAATTCAGAGCCAATCTGGGGCAGTAGAGTGAGTTTCAAGCCAGCCTCCACTATAGAATGAGGCTCTTTCTAAAAACAAAATCAACAACAATAAAAGGAAAAGAAAGGTGCAAAGCAAAACCAGTACAAAAGCACACAGTGAGCTGGATTCTTCTGAAGAACCCTACAGGGATTTTATGGTCCTGGCTGTGGTTTGTCACCACCTAGTGGCAATTGCTTAACCAGCTGTAATACTATTTAGGACTGGCTTGGCTTTAGGTATTTAATTGGTTAGCATTTGGTCGACAAGTTGACACCCATTTTGTCCTAAGGTTTCAGATTATTACTAGAAACAAGAATGTGGAGTGCACCTGATTCTTCCCTTCCAAGGAGGAGTTCCTGACAATTTCCCTTCTCCTCTCTCTCATGTCTTCCTTGTCCAAGATCAGAATTATAGCTCACCCCCATCCCATTCAGGCCAGACAGAATATGGAGAAAATAGTCCTAGATGTTTCTGAACGTTTATCCTGATTCTGGGAAATTGAAAGAGATCTACAAGGAGGAAGTATAGGTCGGAAGCTGAAAAATCTCGGGGCTGTGACCGGAGCCAATAGACTTGCAGCCATTTAGACTAAATAGAAACAGCTTGTGGTCCAAAGAACTCTGAGCCTGCTAGATGCCAGCATGATAGAGAAAGTTTGATCTCTTTGCCAGTTCTGCTTCTGAATGAAGAGATTTGAGGATGGGGCCATTGAAAGCATTGAAGATACTGCTTACCCTATAAGGAAGTTTCATGCCTTAGTATTAGAACCTGTTGAAACTGGGCTGTCACTGGTGGTGGAATACTCGCCTAGTCTGTGTGTGTTAAGGTCATTGGCTCAGTCTCCAGCCTACAAAACAGAAAACAACCTGAGAATTAAAGAAAAATAAACCACCATGACTATTAATTACTCTTCCAATAAATTCTTGCAAAGGAGAAGAGAACCAAGCCAGTAGCTAGCATAAGAAGTGAAAGATAAGGGTTGGAGTATAGATTTTAAGAGAAATAATAGCATGTTTGTGTCATTGGTAGAGATGGCCCAAGAGAGAAGCCTATAGCATGCTTTTTATTTATAAATAAGTGTGGTAGGTGTTAGCGTCAGAAACAGTCAGGTGTGAGGTGTGACGTAGTCATGCTTCTGCCATTGAGAACATTCGGGTCACCCTTTTTCTGTGTGTAACTTTGTGTCCTGTTTTCCTTTTTGATACAACTTTCATGCCATAAAACCGTCCCTTCTGGTTTACATACTTTTTAGTGTAGCACAAGTTTATATTCCTGTTATCACCGCAGAAGAAACTTGCAGCTGCCGCCCTCTTTGCTGCCTGCCCGAGAGCACAGGGTGTTTGTCTGCTGTTTGTCACCTGTTCTGAGTACTTCATAGACATGAATCTCTATGATGTGCGGCTTTTATGCCGCCTTCGTTCATTTACCATGTTAGAGCATGACTTGATTTCACTTGTGGCTAAACACAGTAGATCTCTTCAAACACATGCCGTGCAGCCCAGCACTGTGTGTGGACTGCAGAACAGAAATTATAGTTTTCATGCGGTACTGCCGCTTTCTTCGTAAGTGCTGTCTCATGGTTTTACAGAATGTTCAAAATGTGTCTAGTGCCTCTATAACACTGTCAGTAGACTGTATAATTTACACAACCATTTTATTGGTCATTGTTAAAATTTTTATGTTTTAAGAATTTTTATAAAAAAAAAGGAGCCTTCTGTAATGTAACTTTCATCCACTTTCTCCTAAGAATTTTCATATCAAATGAATAAATTGGGAGAACCATGAAAAAAAAATCCAAAATGAAACCTTTGGGAGTAAGATCTAATGCTTTATTCTTTAGCCATCATTTCTAAAAGTAAACCAATAACCCGAGGGTAAGATCTTTCTTCTGAGAGTTTAGGGGCTAGGGAGATGGATCAGCCAGCAAAGTGCTTGCTGTGAAATAAAGGACCTGAGTTCCGTCCCCAGCACCATGTAAGAATGCCAGGTGTGCAGAACACATCTGTGTTCCTTCCTAGGCATGACGAAACAGGAAGAGCAGACTGCCGGAGCTTGCTGTCCAGGCAGGCTAACCAAGTCAGTGACAGACCCTGCCTCAAAAAGTAAGTTGAGAGCAGTTGACATCAACCTCTATCTCCACGTGTACACGTGCACACGGCCCACCTCAGCCCACAGTTCTTAGAGGAAAGTTGATTTTGATCATTAATGTTAAAAAATTTCAGTATTTAGCAAATTATTTTTATGTGTATGGCTGTTTTTCCTGCATGTGTGTCTTTTCATTACTTGCATGCCTGGTTAGAAGAAGGCATCAGATTCCTGCAACTGGAGTTAACAGATGTTGTGAGCTGCTCTGTGGATGCTGGGAGTTGACTCCATATCTTCTGGTAGAGCAGTCAGTGCTCTAACTGCTGAGCCACCTCTCCAGCTCTGATCATTAGCATGTTAAAGTCCCACTTCATTTAATAGTTGTGGTGGTGGTGGTGGTGGTGGTGGTGGGTGCCATAGAGCACACATGGAGGTCAGAGGACAACTTGGTAGAGTCACTTCTCTCTTTCCACCTTTACGTAGATTCTGGGGATCCAGTTAGGCAAGCCTTTTCTCAATAAACTACATTGCTGGCCCCAGATTTATGTTCTTTTAAAGTATATAAATATGTATAGTAGCTTCATTTTTATTTTAATCTTAAGCGAGAGTGTTTGCTTTTATCATTGATATTCAGGTGAATAGAATCTGACAGTTTGCTCACATGGTTACAATAATTTTTCTGGCCAGGTGATGGTGTCACACACCTTTAATCCCAGCACTCGGAAGGCAGAGGCAGGCGGATCTCAGAATTTGAGGCCAGCCTGTCTATAAGAGCTAGTTTCAGGATAGGTTCCAAAGCTACAGAGAAAAAACAACAAAACAAAAACCAGAATAATTTTTCCTTTTTGTTGTTTTTTTATTTCTAACCCAGGCTGGCAGATCCTGATGCCCATGTCTCCTGGGTGCTTAGGTTAAAGGCCTGTGTCACTACATACAAATTAATAGTTTTCTTTTGTGTGAAGCTAACATTGGGTTTAGGCATCCTTTTCTGCCAAACACATAATTTAAAAATCAGCTTTTGTGTAGGCAGATGGAATTTTGTATATCCATAATTCTATTTATGATGCATATGATAATTTCAGTCCGTAACTCCTACCTTAAATGGAAACTAAGGAATGTTCTATACAGGAATGTAATACAGAGCAAGATGTATTTTTTTTGGGGGGGGGGGAATCTTATAATTGTTTCATCAGTGATGAGAGAAAATGCAGGATTTTAGCCTATAATTATTATTTGTTGTTGTTGATGCTTAATATATTCTCATTGAGGGCATAGAACATACGTCATGTAATTTTTATTATACTTGTATCCCCGGAGAGTTTTACATCCATACAGTGTATTTTGATCACATTCATCCCCACTCTTCCCCCAACTCCTTCCAGACCTATCCCCTGCCCCCCTCATCCCAACTTGAAGTCTTCATTGAAGAAGAAATACACACACACACACACACACACACACATATATACATATAAACACACAAATATACATCACTCTCTATATATACAAAATTATATACATTTGTATATATTTTTTCCCTTCTAATTTGTGCTGTTGCTGCAGTCACGGGTGTGGGTCCATTCAATACAGTACCCTCCAAGGGCCTTCCCTAAACTGATTCTTCCTCCCTGAGAGAACACCAGATGTCACATCTTCAAAGTGAGGCCTGTGAGTTTCTGTCATTTTGTGAGTGTGACAAATCGTGAGATACCTTGCATCACTGTGGTCTCTTGTTTGAGCATTGATCAGCACTTTAATTTTGTTGTTGTTTATTTCTTCTTACTCTAGGTTTTAATAACTTTTTTAATCTTCTTAATATTTGTGTGTGTTTGGATAGTGTAGACTTGAGTTGCTGTGGTTTGCGTGCGGAGGTCGGGGATAGTTGTATGGTGATAGCCTTGTTTGCTCTCTTTACATGTGCTCCTGGAATCTCTTTGCCCACCGAGTGATTTTGGAGACCCCCAATCTAAGTTTTTAGTTGTAAAATAATTCTGTTTTTTCAAAGAATTAAAGTATTTCCTAAGGTATAATAATGATAGTTATTATTAATTTTAATTTTATATGTGTAACTATATATGTATATATTCAGTGTCTACTGCCTACTGCTTATGAAGTTGTTAATACATTTTTTTTTTAGATGAAGAGCCAGTCTCAGAATGGTAACTCAAGGCTACCTATTTGTAAGTTAGAAATAGAACTTGGAGCAGATTGTGGTGACGCACACCTGAAGTTGCAGACTCAGGATGCTGAGACAGGAGGATCTTAAGTTCAAGCCTAGCCTGGGTTAAATAGTGAGACCCTTTTCAAAAAGGGAGGGAGGGGAGGAATGAACACACACACACAGAGTGAGAGAGACAGACAGACAGACAGGATGGAACTTTATCTGAATTCTTTTGAAGACCTCAAAAAATTGAAAAGGTTAGTTCATTCCATCAGTTAGAATGGTTTCTTTGTGCAGTTTTAAACAAACCAGCTCTTTGGGATGACTGGCCAACTTGTTCAGTGAATTGAGAATTGCTTAACTTGATTTCCTGTGTGCTGTGAATTCTTTCCTTTGTTAGACAGTGAGGAGCTGATCACGCGTCTGTGTTAACATTTTCAAATGTGTTTGGAACAGATTTGGCGACTGATCGCAAGCTCTTCCGCCTGGTCTCCAATGACTCCTTCATCTCTATCCAGCCTTCCTTGTCCTCTTGTGGACAGGACTTACCAAGGGACTTCAGTGACAAAGTGAGCCTGCCAAGTCATAGCCAGCACCACCATGTCGATCAGTCCCTGTCCAGTGCCTGTGACACAGAAGTGGCTTCTCTCGTACCTTTACATTCACACTCTTACAGGAAAGAGCACCGGCCACGAGGAGTACCACGGACTTCCAGTTCTGCTGTGGCTTTTCCTGATGCCTCTCTGAATGACTTTCCTCTCTACCAGCAGAGACGGGGATTAGACCCAGTCAGTGAGTTAGACTCTTCTAAGCCTCACTCTGGGTCTAGAGAGTCTTTAGTAGAGAAGTCCTGCCCACCTGCAGAATTTCAGCCTGCTGGTGACCTGAGGAAAAGTAATTCTCAGCCACCCACAAAGTGTGGGAAGAGCAGAGCACTGAACGCTGACAAAAGTGTGGACAGCCTGAGGAGCCTGAGCACACGGAGTAGCGGGTCCACCGAGAGCTACTGCAGCGGGACCGACAGGGACACCAACAGTACTCTGAGCAGCTATAAAAGTGAGCAGACCAGCTCCACTCACATCGAGAGCATCGTGTCTGAGCACGAGGAGTCTCCCAAAGTGGGAAAGAGGAATGCCAGGAAGAAGGGCTGCTCTGACTCAGCAGAAGAGAGGCGCCACGGTGCTGGTGACCAAAGGACTAGCAGTGACAAGACTGCCCCAGAGGGGAGTGAATCTGGTGGGCCTCCTGAGGACCCAGATGCTCAGGCATCCGGGGAGGCACCTGACCAGGTTGCTCCTAGCAGCTCTGCATCAGAAGATGCCAATAAAAACCCCCATGCAAATGAGTTTACTGTCCCCGGGGATAGGCCATCTGAGCAGAGTGCAGAGAGCAGAGAGGAGCAGAGTGAGAAGCCGAGCATTTCCACAGACCCCAGAGTTTGTAGAGACAGTGGTGGGAAGCAGAAGGAAGGTGATGTCCGACCCAAGTCCTCCAGCGTAATCCACCGGACAACCTCTGCGCACAAGCCAGGCAGAAGGCGCGCAGGAAAGAAACGGGCCAGCAGCTTTGACTCCAGTCGCCATCGGGACTATGTTTCCTTCCGAGGAGTCTCTGGCAGCAAGCCTCACAGTGCTGTGTTTTGTCACGACGAGGACTCTAGTGATCAAAGTGATTTGAGCAGAGCACCAAGTGTGCATTCTGCTCACCAGTTCAGCAGCGATAGCTCTTCCAGCGCCACCTCTCATTCGTGCCAGTCTCCTGAGGGCAAATACAGTGCCCTCAAGACCAAACATGGCCATAAGGACCGGAGCACAGACTCGGACCACACACACAGAGCTCATGCAGGCCCAGAGGGAACCGCCAAAAAGAGGGCCACTCGAAGGACTTCCAGCACAAATAGTGCCAAGACGCGGGCTCGGGTGCTGAGCTTGGATAGTGGCACTGTGGCCTGTCTGAATGACACAAACAGGCTGCTGGCACCTGAAAGTATAAAGCCCTTAACCACTTCAAAGTCAGATCTTGAGGCCAAAGAGGGAGAGGTGCTAGATGAGCTGTCTTTGCTGGGCCGGGCTTCCCAGTTAGAGACAGTCACTCGGTCTAGGAATAGTCTGCCAAGCCAGGCTGCCTTTCCTGAAGGGGAAGAACAAGATGCAGCCCCTGGAGGTAAGTGAGCCACAGGAACTCAAGGGTCACTGCAGACTGTGACTGTGCTCGGAGTAGTCTAATAGAAGCTTCAGAAAGTGCCATTTCCCCGTGTTAGGAAGCGGCTTCTTTCAGTGGGAGTAGTCTCTGATGGTCCGACTGTCTGATGGGACACATGAGTTTATTCTTGATTGCCTCCCTTTTCTAAGCTAGTTTTGCCATTAATAACCCAATTAGTTCTCTCCTTTCTACAGTAGCAACAGTTTTACAACTATATGAGGGTGACAAACCGCTATAGCCAAGTCTTCACAGTGTGCTGCTGAACTCCCAGAGGCAGCCGCTCACCCCGTCACAGAAGATTGATTCTCCGAATACTACTGTGGCACTGGGCTCGTTCTGTTTATGTGCTTTTCTCAATTCAAGTTTTAGATACTAAGAAAATGATATTTTTCCCATGATTTCTCACTGTACTCAAGGTGAATTAAGTTGAAGTTTATAATTTATATTAATTAGCATTCTATTTTTTTATGTGCTTATTTATATTTTGATTTTTGAGACGGGATCTCAATGTGTAGCCCTGGCTGGCCTAGAATGTACTATGTAGATCAGGCTGGCCTCAAACTGTTCTGTTAGCTTTGCCTCCTGAGTGCTGGGATTAAAGGCATACATCATCACTTCCTGCTGTATTAGCATTTTAATCTGTTAATTGATGCATGGTATTCCCTATGATGGTGATGGTGTTTGGGTAAAGTAATAACTTACTAATTTCAGGCTTTGGGGGAGTTGTACAAAGTTGGATAGGTGATATTGTATCAGTGTGTGTTGACCTGTTTTTCAGAGGTGGTGTTCTTCACTGTTTTCCTCCTACCTCAGACTGTTGACTGTTTTGCTGATTATGAAGTCTTTCTGGGTACAATGAGAATGAAGCCTTCTGCTGTCAGCACACATGAGTCTTGGAGGGTCACAGTCATTTGCTATAATAGTGGTGATTCTCTCCTTAACAGTTAAAGTTGATGCTCTGTTCATACAGGCATTTCAAATGTGTCTACACTTACCTTAAAAGAATTTCAGGTTCATCTGGAGTATTTTAAAGATCATACTGTAAAGATGTTCTTGCTTGTATTTTTTTTCTATTTCTAGAAAGCTTCTAACAAAAATTAACTTATAATGGGATTGTAAAGAAATTATTTTTAGTGCTGAAGGAGTTCTCAAAGTAGTCTTCTAAGCTATATATTAGAGGTGATTGTATCTGAAGTGGTTCTTACCACTTGGTTGCTGCATAAATGTCTTACAATTTTGACCTGGATGTCATTCTATAGTTTATATAGAAACTTCTCAGAGAAGCTTTCTCATGTGTGTCTGTTCTTGATGTCAGTGACTCCATTGGGTTTTAAAAAAATAGCTTCTTTAAGTTATCAAAATAAATTTTGCTAAAATAAATGGTATTGCCAGAATATAAATGTTACTAGCATATGTACAAGATGTGCTATGGAAAGTCTCTGTCTTTGCATACTTACCGTCGTTTCCTTTCCATAGTGAATGTTGATTTTCCTTTTTTGTTTTGTTTGGTGGTTTTACAAAATTATGTGGAAAGTGTTATTACCTTCTTCATGCAGTTCTGTGACCATGTAAGTCTTCATATTTCTAGATTCCAGATTTGTTTGTTTGTATCTTTAAAATCTCCACTAAATGTTAATAATAAAACAATGAACTAAATTTTTAAGATCTCAACTTTAGTTGAAGAAATTCACTAGTATGCGGGAGGTTGAAGATATTTTTTTGTCAAATAAGGGTACTGCTAGGGTGTTTATTTTGTTTTTTGTTTGTTTTTATTGTGCTTAGAATGAAAAACAAAACAAAATGATTTAAATGTGTTAGAGATTTCTGTGTCCATCACACCTAAATACAAGGGTTTGCTGTGTTTTAGTTGAACTTCCAGAAAACTTGGAAATAGCAGGGAGGAATTTAAATGTTCCTGTTTAAAATGGACATAATTTCAGTGTGTGTCGATATGAGCGTCATTCGTTACAGTCTTGTCTGGTGATTTAGGAGTGATGTGTCTGGGTTGTGCTCCAAAAACATGATGAAACATGATGGCACACATTGTTCTCTCTCTCTGTCTCTCTCTCTCTGTCTCTCTGTCTCTCTCTCTCTCTGTCTCTCTGTCTCTCTCTCTCTCTCTCTCTCTCTCTCTCTCTCTGTGTGTGTGTCTCTCCTGGACATAAAACCGTAAGTGAATTTTAATCTGGGTAGATCTGGAGGTATTGCTGCCTTCTCCAGATACTTTATTATTGGGGTGAATGGTGTTAGGGTGGAGGCATGGAGTTTGGGAAATACTTGAAAGTGTTAAAATAAAGCCCTGGAATAGAGGTGATGTAGCCTAGGTTCACATGTGTGTTACTGTTTGGGCTCCACTGTAATTGGTACCCTCAGAGACCTGTTTATCTTCATGAGGCCTCCACATTGTCATCTGTGGATGAGGTGAGAACATTACCTGTTGCCTAGCGAAAGACGAAGGGAGTTCATCCGTAAGATGCTTAGGAAGTGCTCAGCATGTCGTCAATGTTTAATAGCTACTGTTATTGGGAAGCAGACTAGTGCTGTGCTACAGAAATGTGTCCTGTCCTGTTCTGCTCGTTGGTTCGGAGGTAAATACAAGGAAGTAATTACATATTGAAACAAATTAGAGTTGTTCTACTTGTGTAAAACTATATAATAGTGAAAATACAAATGATATTCCCAATTTCACACTTAACAGGAAACATTGTTAGTAGCTAATCTCTTAATGTAGGTTTTGCCTTTTGGCAGTGACACGCCATAACTTACTGTATGGTATGTAGTCCTGTCACAGTGCTTTGCTTGTGTTCATGGCACTGTGTGTGCCAGACAGGCACTCTGCAGCGGAGCTGTGCCACCAGCAAGCTCCCCTGTCTGTTTTAGGATCTCTTAGCCTTCATCAGGTCTTCTGCTCAAAGTCACATTTTACTAATAATTGTCTGCAGTTGTGTAGGTGAAACTTTTTGAGTTCAGTTTGTTTTTTCATTGACCTCTTGCTTTGTACTTAATTTTTCTTATAAGGCATATCTCTCTAATTTATGACTAATACTTTGAATAAAAAATACACACACACATAATAGAAAAATGTCTTGTTTTTGACTTGTCCTATGTCAGATAAAGATGGTCTTCTCTTGGGCCCCTAAATTTATCTCCTGTATGATACAATAGTATGCTTATAATATGTTTTCTATATCGGTTGTCAGGTTATAAAGAATAGCTGAAGTCGAGGGGTTTGTGTGTGTTTTATGGTTTATGCAGTATTCTGCATTTCTGTGGGTTTTTTTGTTGTTGTTTTGTTTTTGTTTTGTTTTTAAGACAGGGTTTCTCTGTGTAGCCTTGGCTGTCCTAGAACTTGCTTTGTAGACCAGGCTGGCCTTGAACTCACAGAGCTCCCCCTGCCTCTGCCTCCTGAGTGCTGGGATTAAAGGTGTGTGGAACCACTATCTGGTGATTTATTTATGTTATTATTTTATGTAACTGAGTGGTTTACTGTGTATGTGCACAGTGTAGGTACAGAGGTCAGAAGAGGATCCTTGGAACTGGTGTTACAGATCGAACCATCCTGTGGGTGCTGGGAATTGAACCGTGGTTCTCTGCAAGTGCTCTCAGCTACTGAGCTGTCTCTCCTGTTCCTACTGAATTCCTTAACCTGTATCTCTCTGAGAAAAGTATCTTAAAAGAATTTCTTACTGTCATGTATTTTATGTATGTGAATGATTTGATGACACATATGCTTGAGTAACTAGTGTATACTTGTTACCCTCAGAGGTCAGAAGACCCTAGGTCTCCTGGAACTGTAGTTATAAATGGTTGTGAGCCTCTGCACATGTGGGTACTAGCTCTTGGCCTGGGATCTAAACCACTGAGCCATCTCTCCAGCCCCTGAGAAAATTGTTTTAGATACATTGTTTGAGCCACTGTTCTGTGGGCTACATCCCTTGTCCCTGAAGTCAGTGTTTATATATACACAGTTCTCAAATTCAGTTCAGTGCCAGATTTGCCAGGGAGGAACAAACAATATTCTCTCTCTAAGAGCAGTGGAATTCTACATGCGCAATCCAGTGAGTCCATAATCCACGAACTGCATGAGTGAAATAGTTTATAGAAAACCTCTTTACTTATTTATACTCAGAACTCTCGAGCTTTGAAGATTTAGGGGGTAGCTTTTGGTTCTACTGCTCCAGAATCTTCTATTTAGTGTACATAGCCTTGGATGCTTTTCTTGTTGTCATCCACAAAGCCAGCTGATAGTGTTTTAGGGCATCCGTATAAACAGAAATTGCTGTACCAAACAGTTCCATATCAAATGTGTAGAGTTTCTATAACTTTCTGAAGTAAATTAAAAATAGCCCTAAGGTTTGATTTTGCATTTCTTTTTAATGGTCAGGAATACACTATCCCATAGGTCTCCAAATGTCCAGGATATTTGCCTGTTTTCCATGTTATGCATTCAAGCATAATCCTGATCGAGAGACTGCATTAACATAAAGGAAATAAAGCCCAGAACTGTAGCATTTTCTTGGGATCCCTGTGCTCTGGAGGTCAGACAGGAGAAGTGGGAGTCTGAGCTGCCTGAGATGTGTCTCCAAGAGGGAGGGAGGCAGAGAGAACACAAAACTGAATAAAAGCTGAATTTTCTGAGATTATTGTAAATTGTGTCTTTTGAAGACATTTTAATGAAAATAAGGAAATTATTAGAAAGTCAAGACTTGTTATAAAAGCATACTTAACTTAAAATATATCCTTAATTTTTGTACTTCATATATTCATAATTTTTGAATCACTGGACCGCTTCTGAGTTTTTCTTCTTTACCTACATATACATACAAATTAGTTCTGCTTAGAGTGCTTAGTTTTTCACTGTTTACATTTGATACACAGGTTTGAACAGTTAGCTTGTTTACTTGCTAGAAAATCCTGAGTTTTATGTAAGGTTAAAGAGCTAACTTTAAAAGATTTTGTAGCATTTTTTTCTCCCTTCTGGTGTCCTAATTTTAAAAAAAGAAGGGGAGGAGAAGGAAGAGAGTTTCTTCCCAAGGCTTAGGATTTGATTCTTCAGAGGCCTCGTCAGTTATTTTTTTTTAAATGTTCTTTCTCTTGTAAACTTGAATGATTCGTAAAGGCTGGAAGATGACTTATTAGGTAAAGGGCTTCCTGTGCAAACACAAGGACCTACGTTCAGGTCCTCAGTGCGTCTATGGGCGTCTCCACAAATGAGCACATTCTAACACAAACATATGCATATATACATAATTAAAAGACTATTAAGGAAATACGTAATTTATATAACTATTTTGTAGATTGAAATATGAATGTGTAAAATTATTTAAAGCTTTTCTTTAAGAAGAAGCCAAAGAGATTTTTGTTGTTGCTGTCTTATGTATGTGAGTGTTTTATCTGCATATGTGTGTTATGAGTGTGCCTGGTGTTTACAGAGTGCAGAAGAAGATATCAGATCCCTGGAACTGTAGACGTGGTTATGAGTCACTATGTGGGTTCTGGGACTCAAACCTAGGTCCTCTGAAAGAGTAACCAGTGTTCTTAACCACTGAACCATTTCTCCAACCCGCCAACAGAGTTTTCTTTTCTTTAACTAAAAATGGACACTGGCAAATTTTCTTTCTTTTCTTTCTTTCTTTCTTTTTTTTGTTTAGATGGTTTTTTAATTTTGTTCTTGTCCTTCTTAGAGACTTAGCTTTCCTGTAAGAGTAATACCTCCAAGAGTCTCCAGTAGGAACAGATTAATAAAGAAGAGCATTTCCCTTTTCCTGTCTTATGTGGTTAGTGATCATATGCTGCTTTCCAAAAGTCAGCTCATAAGTTAGGTCTGGGTTCAATTTTCTGTTCATTTGCAACAGAATAGAGATTGAAGATTCCATAATGAAGTTGATTCAACCAGTAAAATTGATTATAGTAGTTTGTTGTCAAGTAATGGTTTGTAAAAAATGGGATATAGTTTATTTCAACTTTAGAATAAAATTTTCAGTAATGTGGTCCACAAGGTGGCTCTTGAATTGAGTTACCAGCTAGTAATTGTATCTGTAACGTGACCTCTCTGTGCAGGTGTCTCAGAGCTGTGACAGGTGTAACCTACTCACCTCATGGTCCTGTCTTCCCTCACCTGGTGTGTTCCTCCTCTGGCGGCTGCTCTGCCAGTGTTTCTCTGCCAATGCAGAAGCATTTCCGTTCATCAAGGTTGTGGTTGTCAGTGGTCGAAACCTGCTTTACAGTTTATGCCAGCGAAACAGCAGCCTCGTCTGCATCTGCTTTCTGTTGCGATGGGCAGGTTCCGTGTCCGAGTTGTCTAGCAGTGATCAACATGCTCCGTGTTACTACTGAGTGTTAGGTGTGGGTCAGGAGGACTGGCTGAAGTTATAGTTTCCACTAACAGAAATGTGAGTAGCTACTGCTGGCTGGTTAGTGGCCTCTGTGTTAGACATCCAGGCCTAGGTGACCACTCCTGGCTGGTTAGTGGCCACTGTGTTAGACAGCCAGGCCTAGACAAGCAAGTTCAGTCAGCTTCATGGTTTTCTGTGGACATGTCTGACTTTCACAGACAAACAACAACTTTTCACATTTAAAGGCTCTTTCATGTTTGGAAAAATGTTTCTGTATGAGCTTCTTTATTCTTTGCTCATATGTTAACATCAAAATATCCTTCCTCAGAATCCAAAGAATCCCAGAAGACTTAGAGTCCTGGGGAAAGAGCAGTTGTTTCATGTTCACCTGTGAAATCATTTTACATTTTACAATGATTAGATTGGTCAGTTAGTGTGGTTTTATCAAAATGTGTATAATTTCTCATGGTCTCTGTTGCAATTTTATTGTTGTCTTCTTGTTTTAGCTTGATTCCAACTTAAGCGATCCTCCGTGCTTGGTTTTTATTTATATCTTCTTCCTAATGCTGAAGAGACTAGGACCAGGGCTGTAAAGTTTTCAAATAAAGTTTTGCCACAGCACTTTCTGGTTAAGATATGTTTGTTACCTTGAATGTTTGACAAACTAGTTCTGCCAGCTGTCAGTCAGTTTCAGAATTATAGCCTGGGGTGCTGGGGGATGCAGCTCACTCCCCTACTCCCTGGCATCTACAGTTAGTAGTCTGAAGCTTTCCCCCTTAAAGGCTATGCAAAGCTGTCACCATTTGGTAGAAATCATGCTTTGGATTTGCTCTTCTCCTGCCTGAGTGATAGGCAGTTGACTACTGCCTCACTGTTGGGCAGTGGCAGCAGCCCGAGTCAACGCTCCCAGTCAGGAATGTACCTGCTGAATTGAGTGTGTGTATCAAGTGCACCTTTGACCCCTGGTGCTTTACGTTAATGATGGTTGATCAGACTGTAGTCCCAACCAAAAGTAGGGAGCATCCGTGTGCTTGCACTGCTTCTACTAGTCCCACGAGAAAAGGAGCGAGCACTCGTTCCCATTAGGGACACTCACAGCTTTTCAAAGGCTGACTTAATTAAAGGGCAAAAGGAGGAAGAAGTGCCAAAAATAACGAGGCTTTCGCAAAAACATTTAAAGTGGCAGAGATCCTAAAATAGAAAGTTAAGGATGAAGAGAAAGTGTTGAGGTCAGATAATAGATCCAAAATTCTATTTTCCAAAAAACTAACTTTGTAGAAAGGGTACATACTTTGTATATATTCCCTAATGTGACAGAAGACCCAAGTGTTCCTTCTCCCAAGAGGGTGGGAAGTCCAGAGAGAGACAGGCTCAGCTGACCTAGGCTCATGTTTGACCTAAGTCTGTCTTAATGCAGCAGCACAGGCCAGCGAGGAGGCAGTGGCCTTTCGCCGTGAACGCAGCACATTTAGGCGCCAAGCAGTACGGCGCCGGCACAATGCAGGGAGTAACCCTACCCCTCCTACCTTGCTCATCGGATCGCCCCTAAGGTACGGTATCTTACAATTCCACCAAGTTTGGCATGCATGCAGTGAACCTTCTAATCTGTTCTTTCCGACCCAGGCAAGCTTTTGAAGAACGCTGCTTTTCTTTCTTTCTCTGCTATACATCTTCAGCTCTTAGGTTTCTTCTGCATGTGACCCTGAGCTTACTGCATTATGCATGCCTTATGTTGTACTGTTTAAACAAAGCCAGCAGACTGATTTTGTCCAGTTTTTAAATTGTAAGAGCATGTTAGCAGTTATAGAAGTGAAAGCCTAGCCATTAAGTTAGATTTATTGTTTTACCTACTCTAAATTATTAGTGCAATATCTGACAGTGTTTAATAGGGACAATTACAGGAAGAGTGGTGACCTCATTGAGAAATAGAAATCTGACCTGACCATATAAAGTCAGTTTGGTTATTTCATGTGATTGAAAGATTACATTTTATTTATATTGTAAAGTTTGAACCTATTGAAGGACACAGAACTAAAATATTTTATTTATGAACGTGGTCAGCTTTATATATGTTTACATGTAGAGATGTATTGAACTTCTCTACCTCCATCGTGTATTAAAAAACATTTTCATTTTTACAATTTCTCAACTAAGAGAGCATCCATTTATGATATTGGGATAACCTCTTGTTGGATTTTTAGGACTCTAGAGAGTCCATGTCTTGATTTAGAAATATGAAGATCTTTTCAAAAGACTTGCGATTTATTTCATAAGAACAAACATGAGCATCACATGATCCATGTGCTTGCCAAAGCATATGGACAAAACCCCTCCCCTTTCCCTTTTCAAACTTGTTTTTCAGAATAGCGAAATTCTATTTTTAAAATTCATTTTATACCCCCTAAGATTTAAAACTTGGTTTCTTTAGTTTTACATTATATCTAGGAATTTCATCTCCGTTTTCTAATGCTTTAAATAATACACAACTATATGAAATATATATTTATACACAGACAATATTTAAAACATTAAAGTGGAAATTAACTAATTTAAAGATACATTTGTTGTAGAAATGTTTGGAGCTCTCCACTTATGTGTCCTCCCTCCCTCCCTCCCTCCCTCCCTTCCTCCCACCCTCCCTGCTGCAGGACTCCTCTCTGCTGGTGAATGTGGGCACAGCCCCCATGTGCAGGGGCTGCTCAGCAGCAGCTTCTGTTCTGTTTTGTTTAAGCTTCCTTTTGCCCCTTGAATAATGCTTGCTGGTTGTAGACAAGTCTTTTGCCTTCCTGCTTTCTCCATTTTTTCCTTTTATAAACATTTTTAACCTATTTTAAGAAATTCATTCTTTGCCATGAATATGCTGACCAAGTTTCACTTGCCAAACATTGTATACAGAGTCATTTTTTTCCTCTGCCTGGTGGAACACAAGAGTTATCATAACTTAGGCCAGACACACAGTACTTCCACTTTCTTTGTAGAATTTGAAATGTAGCATGTCTTAGAAAATGGTCTGGAAATTACTCCTCCAGGGCTTATGTTGGACCCTTTAGAAGTCTCCTTCTCGTGGTCAGCATGCAGGCTTTGTTGAGATTCCAGGGAATTTTCAGCATCATGTTGCATGTGTCTAAATACATGCCTTATTACAGGTGAATTAAAATAAAATTTAGCTGTGAAGAGTTAGGAGAAATACCAACTTAGTAAATTACCTTTTACAATTGGAAAAATCCCAGGTAAAGTAAGTTGCCATTATTCTTCAGTGTGATCTACTTAATAATGTTATCTTTAACTAAATAGGGAATAGTATAGCTATTTAAACGTTGGGGAAACATTTTCTCAAAGATTAGTAGATCCAATGTGGCAGTACTTTCACTACAGTTGTTATGTAAATACCAGTAAAATCTTCTGTAAATCATTCCCCGTACCCATGGTGGGTGGGACAGAAATGTTCTGAACATTCGTACAGTATTTTGAAGCCACGGCCCATACAGTGCCCTATATGTGTATAGTATGTCTCCCCCCACTTTGACTCATTCTTATGGTATGGTGTAATCTATAAATTCAACCCAGCAAGAAGTCAACAACAATAGCTACTAACAAAGTAGAGCAATCACAAAATATATAAAGGTATTAAAAAGTGTGGCTTTATTTCTGAATTTTCCAATTTGATGTTTTCAGATTGATGTTGACTGTAGGTAACTAGGGTCAAAGAAAGCAAAACTTCAGAAAGAAAGACTATGAAAGCTTATTGTAAACTTTGGTGAGTAGCTTAGGCACCCCAAAAGGCATGTGATAAAATACAGATGTGGAAGAATTCGGATTAATACATCAACTTCCTCACAAAGAGAGTTTGCCTGCTTTTAAAATCTTATTAGAATAAGCTCCTTAAGAATTATTTTAAATTTTTAAAATTAAGTAAGCTTTGTAGGTAGGTAGGTTAATTCTTCTTAAGTGATTAGAGCTAAAATAAACACAAATATTAAAATTTTTTATAACACAAGGAATTTGATATTTATTACCCTAATGTCATGTTTTCAAGTCCTGAGAAGACTGGGGTGGGAGGAAAACATCTTATTTTGGTTAAAAATGTAAAGCTTCAGTGTATCTTTAGTTTCATTTAAAATATAAGATTAAAAGATCTATAATAAAATAAGGTTACAGTCATGGTTGAGAATCTATGGTTGGAAATCCATGGGGTCATTTTGTGTTCAGATGAATTCATTTTTGTTTTGTTTTGTTTTGTATATTCAGGACATTCTTTTTCTGGAACCTGTATGGTCTTTGGAATAATGGTGTCATACTCTTAGAGTTTACATTTTAGTAGGAGAGATACCTACCAAGGTAACTAACAGTAAAGCAGTATTGCCAGATACCTACCACCTTGGTGTGTGGAGGAATAGATGGCCAATGCCAGTCGTCTGTCATTTAAATTGGGATGTTGATCAGTATGCTTGCCAGCCTGGAATAACAGACTTAGATTTCCTTTTACTGTGTGATAAAGTACCTACTACTGCTAGAAAAAAAAAAAAGATAAATTTATGCCATATTCATGCCTGTTAGCCTAAAGTTAGTCCACCCTTTGGGGATCTGATTCTCGACCATTTATGCTAAGAACTTACCTTTTCTGTCGCCTGTGAGGGTTTTGAAAGCAGGAATTAAGGGATATAAACATTTATTACTGACTTTTGATGTTCAAAGTACAATGATTATAATAATAGATTTTGTCTAATTTCCTTCATTTGTTTGGGAGTTGACGTTCATGCACCGTTTAATATTGAAAACATTTTATGTATTTGTGCAGACTTTGTGCATCTATAGCTTGAAGATTAGGATAGTCTCAGGCCCGTTCACATTAGAATGTGACTTACTGTGATAGGACCTTTGCTTATGACTTTAAGTGAAAAAAAACTGATAGAAAAATTTGAGTACAAATTCTTTGGTTAAGTTGTAAGCTTGATCTGAATTTGAAAGTTCATGATATTTGAATTTCCTGGGACTTTCTTCCTGTTTTCTTGTGTGAAACCTGTTCATTTTGATAAGGTTCATGGAAAAGTCTAGATCGCTTCTGATGAAGAGGGATGTATCAGCCATGTGTAGAAGATAAAACTGTTTAATTAACATGATCATCTTTTCTTCTCTAAATTTGCAGTGCTGGAGGTAGACCCATGGTTTGACACATGTAGGCAAAGGCCCTGCCACTCAGCTCCATGGCTAGCCTCTCACAGGCCTCTCTTGACTAGCAGCTGCTAGGAAGGTCACCCAAGGAAACTACTAAAGGAGTGCTTTGCAGGGTGGCTAGGAAGTGCCAGTGTGAGCCGCAGTCTCGCTTTTCTCACGGTAGATGCACTCCTGCTCAGTGGTTCTGAATCAAACCTGCTAATTTGTAGGCCTTGTGTGATGGGATAAATATTCTTTAATACATGCTGTCCAGTATGGCAGGCAGTCGTTATGTGCTGCTGATCACTTTGGTTGTACTAGCTGCGGTGTGTGGTTATTGTATTTGAAATACAACTGTCATGATGAAGAGCTAAAATTTAGTTAAATATCCCGGGGGACTGGTGTGCCAGACAGTGTAGTGTTGGATCACCATAGCCGCAGCTCAGCCTTTTACTTCACTGCCAGTCGACAGTATCTATGTTTTTTGTTTCTATTGTTTTGTTTTTAACTAAAAACCAGAGGGACAATTGCAGTGGATTCAAAGGATCAGAGAGAATTTAGTAGAAAATGCTATTATTAAAATAATAGGCTACCCAGGCCATGTTGAGTCACATCCTTCTTGTTCTAGTTATTTTAGTGGCAGCCTTTGGAGTTTCTCAGAGTACACTTAAATTCACCGAGTGTAACATGCTGGACATGGTGCGGAGAATAATGTGTGATAGTTAAAACAGTTCAGCAATTTCAACAGTTTAAATTAGAATAAATCTTCTATTAAAAATATTAATAATAGAGGCAGGTGGATCTCTGTGAGTTCGAGGCCAGCCTGGTCTACAAGAGCTAGATCAAGGACAGGTTTCTAAGCTACAGGGAAACCCTGTCCTGAAAAACCAAAAAAAAAAAAAAGTTAATAATAAAATCCATATTATCTTAAATAATCATAAAAGTAAAGGAGTAAATAACATAGAAAAATTAAGTTTTATAAATAAAATAAATTTATATTAACAAAATATAAATTTTTGAAATTTTAAAAAATTTATAAAACACTAAAATATCCTTTGAGAAATTAAGGTTTTCCAGTTACTAAGATTTTTCTAAAATAATGTATTCTAGTTGAGAATTCAATATGGACTGGAAAAAAGGTTAGCAATTGGTTATAAAAATCTAATTGTTGTATATGTTTTATCTGTAACTCTTAGCCTTTTTCAAAATATGGAAGCTTTTACAAGTAGTACTTTATAATAATTCTCCTTCCAGGACCCCTGTGGCCATCGCATATCACTCTGCCCGGTCACACACTCTGGTTCTCCTGCAGTGGTTTGTGATGTTCTTTTGCTTACCCTTGTATTTTGGTTGTATTTGATAGAGAGTCTTTGGTTTTCACATGTGTAGGAACTTGGTTTTATTTTGTATCTGAATCTGTGATCTTAGGACATTAGAGGAAAATAGCAGTCATGATGGTGAATTTTACCCACTGGAGCCCAGCACCAGCCATGTCCTTGAGCGCCCCCCTGCTGCTCTTCCTCTTTAGTACCCAGTTGGGTTGAGCTGAAAGAAAGTTGCGAATTGACAGTTAACATCCATGTTTTGCTGCACTAAATATTGTTAAATATTTACTGCATTCCTCCCCATGAATCAGATTGGTAATGACCAGAACAAGTGTAAACTGTGTAATTGTACAATGCTTCTTGGCTCTTTCTTTGGTTATTTGAAAAAGTGTCATTTTTGAAATCAGTGTTCTCTATTGATTTCATTCTAGCTGTTGTTTTCTCTTTTCTTCCCTGTAATGTCTCCCCAATCCGTGTTTTCTCCTAGCCTTCAAGATGGTCAGCAAGGCCAGCAGTCCACAGCCCAGGTCAAAGTCCAGTCCCGCCCCCCATCCCAGGCTGCAGTGCTCAGTGCTAGTGCCTCCTTGCTGGTGAGAAAAGGGAGTGTCCACTTAGAAGCCTCACATGACCATGCATCTGCTGTAGGCGGCAGCAGTTTGCACGATGAACTTGGTATGCAGGCCCGTGTAATCTCGGTGGTTGGAAACTTATTGGCAGCGAATGGGTAACAGCGATTGCGATTCTTTCCTGAGGTGGCTTTACTTTGGAGCTATGCATCGGGCGCTGTTTGAGTGGGTTTGTTTGCCATGTGTGTGAGAAAATGACTTGCTTTTTCTTTCTGTATTTCTCTTCACTTTTATTTTACTTTTTCTTTTGAGCATGTCTATTACTATGTGCTAGTAACTGTCCTTAAAACTCTAACGTTCTGTTATAATAATTTGGTCATTCCTATTTTCCCAGGCATCTGTATCATGTGATTTTGAGAAAACTTTTATTTTTAAAATCTATTTGAATATGCTCTTTAATAGGCTTGTTACTACAGTCTTGCTGTAAGACCCAGCATTTTGCAATATGTCCATCTCCTGCCATAGGACTTGTTATAATCCTAAATGTAATGTTCTTAGGACAACTTGGCTCTACTTATGACTGATAAGTTTATAAAATATTTTATTATCTGTTAAGATAATATATAAATAAACTCAAATTATGAAAGTTAATTTTTAGAAACGCAGCATATTTTAAATCCTCAGTGATAGCAGATTTACTTAGAATGCATGGTTTTTGCATTAAATGCTCAGTAATAGCAGATTTACTTAGAATGCATGGTTTTTGCATTGGCATATTGTACACTACTTTAAAGTTTTATTTCTTTATGTTGATGTGTGTGTGTTCATGCACATGTGCATTTGCACGTATCTGTTGAAGCCAGAGGAAGACACTGGGTGACTTACTTTTTGAGGCAGAATCTCTCACTGAACTGCTGCTGGCTGATTGAGCTGTACTGGATGGCCAGCAAGGTTTAGAGACCTATCTGTTCCTTCCCTCCCCCAGCTCTGAGGTTATATGTGCAAACCTTGCCTGACATTTTTCATGGGCACTGAGGATCTAAAACCAAGGCCTCAGCTTGTGCAGTAAAGCTCTTTACCAACTGAAATCATGTTCCCAGCCCCTGCTCTTAGATTCTTATTACTCTGTGTGACCCAGATTTTCTGTGCTCAGTTTCAGAGTGGTTTAAATTAATCTAATAAGGAAAGTCTGTTATTAAGTAAGACTCACTTTAAAGCATTTACTCATTCTGATCTTACTGGCCTGTTATACAGGCTTTTCTCTTACAGTGACTTTGCAACTTATGTGTTAACTGGAAGAATATATGGTAATAAGGAGCCAAAATTAGGTTTACTATAACTTGGTACGCTGTTTATTCACTGACTTCCTTTCCATTGTGTAAAACTCAGGACTACGGAGAGGTGTCGTAGATAGGTAAATGTGAAGGTCAGATCTTCAGAATCTGCAAACTGGTCACTGTGATGGTTACAGCATTGCATGTCTGGCGGGCAGTCCTAAACGCAGTGAGAAAACAGGACACTGAATGCAGAAGCTTTCCCTTCTGAGTTTGTAACCTGAAAGAGAAGGAAGACTCTCAAAGATGTTTGGGATGAAATAAAATTGAATTCAATTCAGTTGCTTTATTGGTTTCAACTGGCAATTTTTAGATACGTAATATAACATAATATAATTGTTATAATAGCAATACCAATTACATGTAACCCAAGATTCCTGGCAGCAAAGGGTTTGTGAATCTACAGGTGTAAAGTCTTGGTCACATTTAATTGCTTCTGGCCATATGGTAGTGGATTGGCCTCAGTAAAGGACTTCATTCTGAACTGTTTCAGAGTTTTATGCGAATATACCAAGCATAAAATAGAACAAACTCTTGATAATTTTCCCCAATAAGATACACACCTGATAAATAAAAATGTTAATAAAGAGAAAAGTTAGCTAGAATGTTCCCTAAAAGTATGACATATTTACAAAGCTTGCTATTTTTCAGATTTAGTTAGTTCTATTGAAAAAAATTCCCATGTGATTTTTGCATGTACATATACACATGTACAGTATATTTATAAAAGACATGCATGTATACATAAATATACATGTATCCTTATATTCATACAAATCTCTAGCATGTATGATTGTTAATCATTTTAGAATCTGAATTATAAGCAATATAATTTAAAGGAGCAACTTGGAATATTGCCTTATAGAATTCATTTCTGTGCAAGGTTAGTAAATATGTTTTAAAGGGTTCAAATGATACCCTTTAAACCTAGATAAACTTTGAGCATAACATCACTTTAAAGATTTATCTTATTTTTGAGTATGTACATGTTTGTGGGTCTCTGTGTGGGTCAGTGCAGGTGTGCATTGAGGCCATCAGTGATGGATCCTTCAAGCTTGCCTCTTGTCGACGGTGTGACCTTAGGCAGGTTGTTCCCTCTCCCTCTGAATCAGTTTTCACGTATATCAAAGGAGGCAATACTAATGCCAGTTCCCAGGCTTATTGCAAATGTGCCAGTGCCTGGCATTAATAAGTTAGCTAAATAACCATTGTATTACTGACTAATAAAATATTACTAGGTCATAGTTTATTTAGTCAGTTAAGTAAGCTCACTGTTGACTTTTCAGATGTCTCCTGATGCTTGCTGTTGTAGTAAACCCTTTGCTGAAGGTGCTGTACTTGAGCCTATGTGGACAGCAGTGTTTAATTCTTCAGGATTAGAGGTAGACTTACCAGTCAAGGACAGTGACAGTCCCTATAGCTTTGTGTCCTGCTCTCAGTTACTCTGTTGAGAGCTCAAACCTTGTTTATATTGTATCTGGCAGATTGGAGGTTTTTGTTTTATTTTTAATGCTCACAAGAAACTCATCCAAACTTTTATTTCTTAAATAATGCTCAGAAGTTTATCATAGAAGAGCTACAGAGTAATACTTTAAACAGTTTTGAGTACCTGAATTGCTCCAGGAGTTTTACGGAAGCTCCAAGGACTGTCCCTTACTAACATACTGTGAAGAGGCCTTTAATATGAAGACCAGATGGTCTGCACCCCGATGTTACACACTCTTAAGGCCATAGACTAAAGTTGAGGTGCCTGAGTTAGGTAGAATGAAAGCTGGATTCTTGGGAGATTCTCCCCCTCCCCCCCGCCCCGAATCAGTGCCTAAAATGATGATATTTCTGTTCTTTTCTAAGGGTGTCCTAAGAGCCATTCCCTGCAGAAAGCCTGGCTCTTCTGTTTTCCACTTGTGTCTTTCCTGCCTGGTTAAAGAACTGCTGTGGTTGTTGAAATTTCCCAGCGACAGGGGAAGAGGGAGAATCCAAGTCAGACACCTTAGCCTGGATGTTCTGTGTAGTGACTTTGAAAATAACGTATCTTTTACTTTCTTCTGCCTCCCCACCAGTGGCCTAAATAAGGTTGCTGTATAACTCTGAGCTGCAGGAGAGTAGCTGCTTGGTTAGGGGATGATGTAAATACTAAAAGCATGGTGAGAGGATGGATCCTGGAGCTCATTCATCAGCCTTTGGCACGGGAAGATCACAAGGATTTTTGCACCAATAAAAGGAAGATCACAGACCTGCTAGAAAAGCAAAATGGTTAAGTGGGCATGGAGGTCAGGGAGATGGGGACCAGGAAAGGTTGGGGGTTGCCTGGGAGATGGGAGGACAGGAAAGGGTAGGGGACAGTGGTCAGCCAAAACCATGAAAATGCAAACAAAAATGAATTTCAAAAAGAAATAAAAATGTAGTCATAGACCCAAATCTTGACCTTGCTCATGAGTCTTAGAGTTAAAATTAAAAACAAACCTTAGGATTCCTTTCATATTGTTGAAACTATAGTGGTGTCCATGGCAACAAGCCTGGAGAAATGGGTGGCTAAACAGCAGGTCATTTTTATAGAGCAGGTTAAAGTCACAGACCAAAATGTCCATGTATTTGTATCCCCAGATTTTATAAACATGAATTTTAATGAACTTAGTCACCTAGTACTGTTAATAATTTTGAAAAACTGTAAAGACCTTTTTAGTGCTCATTGATAGAGAACCAGTTAAAAGTGATAATTTGCATAATCCAGATCTTTAGAGTTGTTACAGTAGAGGCTGGTGCGGTGCCTCAGCCATTATGAGCACTGACTGTTCTTCCAGAGGACCTGGGTTTGATTCCCAGCACCTACATGGCGGCTTACAACCATCCATAACTCCAGTTCTAGGGATCTCTGATACCTCAGGGCATGAGACATGCATGTATATGTGCTTACGTGTGAGCAAAACATCCATGTACATGAAACAGTTTTTATTTTTATTTATTTATTTATTTATTTATTTTATTTTTCGAGACAGGGTTTCTCCGTAGTTTTTGGTTCCTGTCCTGGAACTAGCTCTTGTAGACCAGGCTGGCCTCGAACTCACAGAGATCCGCCTGCCTCTGCCTCCCGAGTGCTGGGATTAAAGGCGTGCACCACCACCGCCCGGCTTATGAAACAGTTTTTAAAGAGTTGATAATATTCAGATCTTAGTAAATCTGTATTAGTGGTATGGGTGTATACTTGAGTATGCACGTAGAGACTTGAGATCAACATAGGCTTCTATCATTTCCACTGTGTTTGAGACAGTTTCTCTCACCTGAACCTGGAGATCATGGTTTCAGCTAGACTGGCTGGCCAGAGAGCCCCTCCTTGCACCCCTGTCTGCCTGTCTTTACCTTCCCCCTTTTCCTGGGATCACAGGTGTGTACCACCATGTCCTGATTTTACATGGGGTGCTGGGATTTGAACTCAGGTCCACATGCTTGTTCAGCAAGTACTTTATCTACAGAACCATCTCCCCAACCCATAAATCTACACTATTGACAATGAAAGCTGGCTGAGAAGGGGTCAGTTTCAGAACAATATATGAGAGGAGAGTGGTCCGTTTTTTTCTTGGGCCAGAGTGTTCATCAGATTTGTTTTGAAGAACACAGAAGATGCTCTTGGCACTGAGTGTCTTAGAGGGAGTTGGGAACATTTCTCACTTTTATATACTCTGGATCCTCTAAGAAGATTTTTTAAAAATGAGGTGCAAATGGCAAATCCCCGGTATCATTTCCCAGTGTCTGAGTAGGGTTCTGTAGGCGTTCC